TTTTCCCTTTTTTTTTTTTTTTGGATTTTTGGATTTTTTATTTTTTTTTATTTTTTTTCCCTGGAGAAATGAATCATTTCCCAAACAAAAGATTGCGGTAATCCTAATCATCAGTCCTAGCCACAACCTTCACATTATAAATTTTAAATTCAACTGATAAATCTTGGTTTTCTGTTTGAAAATAATAATCGAAATCGAAATGATTTGATGTCGGGTTTTCTTTTCGTTTTTCTCTTATACCTTCTGCTTCAGCTATAATTTCTCTACTTTCACATTTATATTTTACACTTTCGAACGATTTGTATGTGGTGTTTTTTGGTTCTTACGGCAGAAAACTGAAGTTAATAGCCTCGGAAGTGGACTGTAAAAGTTGTGTATAATTCATCTTTTATTGTGGGGGTGTGCAGTCAAAACTGCTGCATTAAATTTAGGGCTTTTGCGGAGATAGGTGAGGGCCATTTTAATGCCATTTTTATCCATCTTAGACTTCTGGGCCTTTATTGAATTCACCTTCACCAATTAAAGTTGTCTATTTTCATCTCGATTCCTTTTCTTAACTCCATTTATTGTATCTTCCATTGTTGTTATTGTTATTATTTCATCTTGGGTTTTGTGGCTTTAGGATATGTTTGATGGTCTAATTAAACTCGTTTCCCTTCTCTTCTCTTCATTTCATAAGATTACAGTTCTTGAATCGTCAAGTTCTTATTTATATTTATGGTAACTGGTTTTCAGTGAAGTTCATTTGCTTATTTTGGATTCTTAATATTACCCAGATCCCAATTTCTAGATTAAGATATAATTATTGCATCTCTTGTTTTAGATTACTGAGCAGGATTCATTTATCATTTTTCTCTAGGATAAAACCCCCAGTATTTAATAAAAATAAATAAAAAATCTAGATGCTGCCCGATGAATCCAGTAGCTCTGTATGGAGTAGAGAGCAGGATATGCAATTTGAAAAAGCAATAGCAACTTATCCCGAGGAATCTTCGGATAGATGGGAGAAAATTGCTGCCAATGTTTCTGGAAAATCGCTAGAAGAGGTTAAAGATCATTATGAGCTTTTAGTTGACGATGTTAATAGTATAGAGTCTGGTTTTGTGCCGTTGCCTTGTTATAATTCTTCTTCAGATCGAACAACAAGCAATGCTGGTGAGGAAGGAATTTGTAAGAAAGGTGGGAATTTTGAGCATTTCATTTCCAGTAATGGAGGCAAGGGTTCCAGGCCAGATCAGGAGCGACGCAAGGGAATTGCTTGGACAGAAGATGAACACAGGTGAATTATCTTTCTCCATATATTTAACACCGAAAAATTGCTCTACATAGAAGCTTATATGAAGTATGCAAATCTTGATTATGGAAATTTAAATGGTAAGTTGATCGTAATAATGTTAACACAATTGCTTGGAGGCAGGGGCAGACCCAAGATTATGATTCAGCGTGGTGAGGCAGAATTATTACAAAAAAGAAGGGAAAATTGCAGCGGAGCCCCAAACCTTTAAAACATTAGTAGACTTTTCCCAAATCTTTAATTCGTTGCAACCGTCACCCCAAGTTTTCCAAAACATTGCGACGGAGGCTCTTTTGGACGGTTTTCATCTAAATATCTATTAGTCGACTAAGAAATTTGATTTTGACCGTATTTTTAATATTTTTGAAAGGGTAAAATAGTAACTTTCCATTTACTACATTAAAATAAGTTAAAAATTAAATTAGAAAAATCAAAAAATAAATAAAAATACTATATATCTTCATCTTCCCCAACCCACCGGCTAAAATTATCCCTAAAAGAAATATTAGGTTTGGGTTAAAAATTATGGGCTAAAATTATGTGGGCCCCTGCTTGCAGGCTGGCTGGCTTTGTTGAAAATTTAGTAAAATTTTTTTTTTGCTTCTTTTTCCTTTTTCACATCTTTCTTGTTATTTGATCACCAAACCTCAAGTTCTTAAGTTTATGTCTTCACTGCGAGGTTAGTTGGTCAATAATGCCATCTCCAACCATTCTTTGATTAGCCCTTCAACTTGAATTGTTCTTGGAGTTGTTGATGTGACACTTCTTTCAGATCTTTAATATATCTAGACAATACATATTTTCTGTGAAGCATAGAGTTCAAATATTCTCAACTGATATGAACATGGTTCAAACGATGTCGTCTGGGCGGAATCCTTGGAAGAGAAATCTTGTGTCCTAAAATGTTGTTTCTTGCTTCGTTCTTTCCTGTGAAGCATGGTCCACAGTTTTGTCTGTTATAGCTTCTGGATTTGTCTTGTCCTGCTTCCATCAAGGAACGAGTTACCAATTTTGTAGAAAACTGTACAAAGATTGATTCAAGATCTTCATCTGGTCTTTTTACATGTTTTGATTATAATTATGCTAAAATCCAGAGCTTTGAGTTGGATCGAAAATATTATTATTATTATTATTATTATTATTATTTTTTTTTTTTTTGTGGTTTTTGATAAAAAGGGCAGTTAGAATCTTAGGCCTCGTTTGGGAGCGATTTTGAGAATTGATTTTTTGACCGTTGGGAGAAAAGTGGGGACCACTTGTGAGAGAAAAAGTCAAACTTTACGGTTTGAATAGTAAAATAATGGTAAAAAAATCAATTTTTTAGAGTGAAAAATCACTTCCAAACACTCCCTTAATGGGCAATGAGCAGTAGGAAACAATTATGATGAGGGAGAACACTGATCTTCTTGCGGTTCACATGCTACATCTACTTAAACCAATCTTTAGAATATGCGAATAATAGTTAGCTGTTCTCCATGGAAATTTGATTATAAATGCTACATTCTACATCAAAGTTCTTTTTTTTCTCCCCTGTTTTTTGAGCCAATATATTGTATTTCTTGGTCTAAATTTAAAATGTGACTTTAGCTTCTAATCATTTATACGCTTTAGAGTTGAATTCAGGGACTTATGTGGGTTGTGGAATATGGGTTAGCAGATAATAATGCTTGATGATTAGTCCATTATTTAAGTAACCAGCACACTAATTTGATGCTAATATTTTTTTGCACACAAATTTCCAGTTCTAGCTATGATGATGTAAGTGGAGAACTATTCGCTTCCTTGCTCTCATGCACAATTTTTGCCCATTATGTTGTTTGGTATTGACCAAGAGGGTGTTTGGCTTGGCTATGCTTATAACCAACTTAAAAGCTACTTTCAAGAACAGCCTAACATGCTATCTAGGAGATGCTCCTTTTATCTTTGCTTCTCTGAGGGCATAGTTTTAACAATGGGCCACTCTAAATAAGCTTGCATTGATATGAAATTAAAAGAAAACAAAAATGACCTGATTCTGCACACTTGGCACGTGAGGTTCCTGTATGTAAATTTGGTTTATTCAACATCATTAAATTCGATTCCATATTTGATCTCCCTCAGCCTTATTACATTTTTGTGTACTTTTTAAGAGCTGACAGAATTTTGCATTGATAAGAATATTGTTCAGATTTTTTGTTTTGTAGTTTTGTTTCTATACTTGGAAGGACAATCTTGATAGCATTCTGCCTAATATGAACATAGTAATGGATAGTACCGTGGACAATATTTTAGTTTCTTTTTCCTTCTAATATTTTCCAATACAACACAATATACCTTACGGAACAAGCCGTAGATGTTTTACTTTCTTGTGCCAGTATTTGCTCTTGTATATACTTGCATCTTGATGTTACGCTTGGCTCCATCCTGAATGTAATATTAGTTAGTATTTGATCGATTGTTAAATTTTCTTCTTCATGCATTTCCGAACAGACGGTTTCTTATTGGCTTGGATAAATATGGAAAAGGTGATTGGAGAAGCATTTCCCGGAACTTGGTTGTGACGAGAACTCCTACACAAGTTGCAAGCCATGCTCAGAAGTATTACAATCGTTTGAACTCGATGAACAAAGATAGGAGGCGATCAAGCATTCATGACATCACCAATGTTGACACTGGTAATCCTTCAGTGCCCCATCATCCAATCACTGGTCAAACCAACGGCTCACCTGCAGGAGGTCCGTCTGTCAAATCGAACATATCAACACCTCAAACTGCAGATGGTCCACAAGTTGGCATGTACGGGGTGCCCACTATTGGACAACCAATAGGAGGGCCCCTTGTTTCTGCTGTTGGCACGCCGATGAATGTCCGGGTTAATGATTCAACATCAGCACACATTGCATATGGTGTTCCCGGACCAGTGGTTACTGGTGCTCCAGTGAACATGGTTCCTATGACTTACACAGTGCCACAGACTTCTACTCAGAGGTGATCTGTTTGTATATGTACATATGCTACGAAGAGTGAACCATAATGTGCTCCGCAGTTGGCAATATGGTATTTGGTTTTTCAAATTTAAATTCATTAAAGTTCTGTGCAAATTTGAATCAATGCTGTGTATAAAGGATACCTTTGTAAACAAGGTTACAAGTGGACTATTTTTATTTCAAATGTTCGCCAAAGAATTAAGATTTTGGTTATTTAGACGAGATTCACTTGCAGAATGGTTAGCTGAATATGTGATCTCATATGGTTGTCTTGTTTAGATCGATTCATTTCCTCCTTTTGTCATCCATCTTGATAAGCTGAAGAGGAGCTTCTGGTAATCCGGCTCCACCACTCTTTTGTCCATCTCAGTCATCTCTTACTGATATCCTTCATTGGGCTCATCTTCCTTGTAAAACGTTCTCAAACTGCTAACAGCATTATCAATGCACGATTGTGAGTAGAAAGTGCTAACAGCATTATGAATGCATGATTGTGAGTAGAAAGTCGCTCGATCAATCAATATTAAACTTATTAGGCATTCAACAAGTCTCTGAAAACCCACTTATCTAAACCTTTGTTCAGATCATGAGAGAGTGTTGCATTACATGGGATATTCATTCTTAAATTATAGATCGTCCTTGAGAAGTCAATTTCACATCAATTTTAATGTACTAATGTTAAACAGATTGAAAGAGTGGACAGCGCGATGCCTGCGAAGCAACAGCTAATAGGAGAGCTCGTAGCTTCAGAAGAATAATGTTGCCACTTTGAATCAGTGTCTCCACTTGAGCTATAGCTTCTTGTAATGTTATCAGTTGTTTCAGAAACCAGTGAATTAAATCGGTTGACAATTACTTTAGAAACCAGTTTACACAGAACAGTGCATAGACTACTGGGGCAGTTTCTGTAGAATGTTTCTTCTTCGGGATAAGCACCAAGTTCGCAGAGCAATTTTTCCTTGTCTGACAGACCCATTGTAATGGCCCTTACGCCCTGCTCGAGTTGGAAATCAGTGGGGATAACGACAATCTCATCCTTCTCAACTCCATTAAAACTCGTGGTTTCATTTTAAAAGGTCACCTTATTATGAGAAGTAATCCAATCTTTTATAAGTTAGTCAATGTTTTCATTTTTGTTGGATGTGGAATTTTATCCCTTAACAAACTCATTGACCACTCAAGTTCCCGATTTATTTTTATTTTTCTGTCAACGACAAGATGCATGTAGCCTCTTTAAGCCACTCTGCTCTTGAGCCCCACTTCCAATATTGGTCCTCCCAATTTAACATCTATCAATCTCTTCCAAAGATTCTGTGTAGTTGACATTTGTTTTTTAATACTCTTTTTTCTACAGCTCATTTTTAACCACATATTTTATGAAATCAACTACGCATTTCATTAATTTTGATCAAATTTTACTAAAAATCTGATTTTTAGCTCAAGTAAATAGGGCCTTAATTTCCTCCATGTGTTGGGCACTTGCTGGATTCTTATACAAGTCTGCCCCACTTTTCCTTAAGTATATCAAGCTCCCTTTTCCATTTACAAAGTGTCATCTCCCCCCATACTTTTAACTTCCATCGATAATCAACCAAAAGCGAAGAATTTATTAGCACAATTGATGAATTAGGGTTATTGCAAAATACTTGCCCGAGTTGGCCAAATTGACGAATACTTACCTAGGTCTCAAGTTGAACAGAGAAATAGAATGATGAGATTACACCCCTTTCACATGGAAGGGTCCCACAATGATTAAAAAACTTGTAGACCCCCCTCTCATGTGAGGAGACTGTAATGTACATGCAACATCTCTTGGTTTCAAATGTCCAAAACTGAATTGTTAGATATTTTTATTGCTTTGGCGAGGGTATTATATATTGCATCTTTACCTGGGATTTCTCTCAACCAACCATTGCCTTCACGTCCTATTTTAGTTTCTTAGCATGTTTCATCGATGGATCCTACAAAATCAACACCGATGACACTGTCACATAAGATTTTACGAGTGATGGGGTATCATAAGAAATCATGATGGACGATGTATAGCCTTCTTTTCTTCCCACGACAGGTGCCAGATTCTTGAGGCGGAGCTACGGCCATTCTTTATGGTATCCTTATTGCGTGTCAATTTGGAGTCTCGAGTTTATGGATAGAGGCGGTTTAGGGATAGAGGCGGATTCTCCTACTGCGATCCACTAAATCACACTTGGTGGAGGACCACGGTCCATCAAGGCTATTCTATGACATCAGACATCTGGTTTTCTTCAATCATGCGGGATGGGAATCGCGGTGCTATCTGGAGTACGGTCCTCTTGACTTGCCACGCGTGGACACGATTTAATTAAAGTCGAACTTTGAATTTTTGGGACCCAAAAAAACTTTTGAGTTCGAGCCCTTAAATTATTGCATTCGATGTACATTCAATTTCTTTTTAACTAATCTATAAACCCAAAGGTCAATGAAACAATAAACAAAATGAAATAGCATGATTGGAATTTAATAGCATAGTCCCCACTCCAACCTATTTCTGTTACTCGTGAATGCAAGAAGACAATACAGATTACGGCCTACGTTTTCAAATTTTCAATCCGGCACAGCACACAGACACAATGCCCTGCAAAGAGGTTCTTCTGCACACGCGGTTTCCTCCCTTCTTGAAGTTCAGTGCAGGCACCTAAGGTGGCTCCGGCCTTGAGTGTACAGGGTGCGAGTTCAAAATCCGTACCAAACACAGACAACACCGAATGGGTGGGTGCATGGGGTTTTATTAGTTTTTTATACAAGTGGGTCCAACAAAAATGTTCAAAATTGTCTTCAAGGTCTTTACTTTTTCGACAACTGAATGTGATCACTTATAGCAAATGCTGTAAATATAACTGATATTATTCATGGTTTATCCTCTTTGGTAATCAGTACAAGATAGTTGCTTTCAAACATTGCATAAATAGATTACATGTACCAAACTGAGAGTGCTCATCTTATTCACATGATTGTATAGGACTACACAATTCAATGAACAACAGTGTGGTTTGACTATCGAGTCAAATCTACTAATCCATCCACCCAAATAAGCCATGAAAATGTGAAGGCCGTGACAATGGTGAAGGACCAAATCACGTAGCTGTGAAAAGACTGTATACAGAACCAAAATTTGTGCTAAATTTCATCGTTTGCAGGATAAATTATGTTGGTTTATTCTCATAAAAGCTACTTAATATTGCTCTGATGCAAAACATACACAAAGCCCCATCCTTGTTCCTTTTCCTTCTCAATTGTAGACAAAAGTACTTCAAGAAACTCCTGTGCTGCTTCTTGGCATGTAAATACCAAATTAGTCTGTAAAAGAGGGAGAGGAGTATGCAAAATATTCCACTGCTTTCCCTTTGCTCTTTTCTGATAGTGTTGGTTGTGTCCAGTGGTTGTATCTGAACTGCTTCCAACAATATGTACCACCTCTTTATCTATGTCGGCATGAATGACACTCTCCAACCCAATTTCTGATTCTATCACCCACTCTGGATCTGCTGGAACCCCTTCAAACTCAGGTTTACCCAAATCTTTCAAACTTGAGCAACTAACAACCAAGACAATTCTTTTGGTGGTAATTACGAATTTACCACCAGGGTTAAGTGCCTTGCACATGACTAAGGTCTCATCCTGAAGCTTCATGTTGACCTCAGTAAATACAGATGAGGCGACTGCTTCCTCCCAAGAGTAAGGCCTTAGGGGAAATTCTCTACTTAGAGGCCTCGGTAAACGGACCCTTAAGTGATGATGTCCCATCTGGTGAAGCCTACTACGATTTCTGATACTTTGTGCAGTTTTTCCAGTGACTTCAAGAATACTGGCTGCTGGCCTTGCCACGAGTCCTGTTACACCTACAGCAATGCCTGAGGGAAAAGAATGGGCAGTCGGGATGTGATGTACCAAAATAGTGAAACAATGTGACCACCTTTATTACATATAGGTTAAGGAGTACCAGATAGGACTGGATGCAATAATATGAAAGATTTTAGAATTTTATTTGTTAACGCTGTCAGTAACATCCAATCCTCCCAACATATAAGTTAATTATGGAGTTTCTCGAATTGTATTTTGAAGAACATACCTGACAACAATCCGGGAAGGCCATGCTTTTCAGCCCCTTTAATAGGTGATTGGAGAACACCAGTAAGTCCCTGGATGCAACAAGAAAGTTTCAGAAATACTTTTTTGTGGCCACGGGATTGACCCGTGACTTCATTTAAAGAAGGGATATATACATAAATCTAAGGGAGAGACATATACATACATAGATTTAAGCAAAAGAATCCAAATATAATAAGACTACACTACAATTGATATTTCCCGAAGGGCATGTTAGGTACATAGAACTAGACAAGCATTACACATTTGTATAAACAAGATGTTAACATGTTCTTCTAGTTTAATCTATCCACAAATTTCTAAAGGTTCAAAATAGATAATAAGAGTACCTCTAAGAATTCATTTATGACGCCTTTACTCTGTGAAGACATTCCCTTTTGTTGCTTTTCCATCTTCGTCACAGTCTGGTCGTCAAATGTAAATGCAACAATACCCTGCAAGCGGAGACTAATTAAAGTTGAGTTGAGATGAACCACATTCAAGTGTTAATGGATCCAAAATTACCTTATGTGCAGCTTTGCTGAATTGACTTGTAGCATCGCTTATGGCATATACCGTGTTGCTCAGAAGACTCGTGGTACCTTGTGCTACACCAGTAACGAGTCCAGAAGGACTCTGGAAAAGCAATTATTGGTTTAAATAGTCAATTAGCAAGAAAATGGATCACAGTTAAGGTGATATACCTGAAAAACATTCCAGATAGGAAGCGATAAGAAATCCTTGATGCCAAGACCTAGACTCCTCGCAAATCCCATAGGATTTCCTATGACGCCAGCAGAACCAAAAACCTGCAAAATTTTGCGTCCAATTCAATGATGACTATGGTATTGAATACAGCAACCAAGTAGTTGAAAAGGAACACCGTGCACGTAATTTCATCCAAAAAGGAGTTCTTAAAATATTTTGCCAAAGTTGGGCCAAGAAAGGTTACCTTGTACATCTCATGTAGAAACTGTCGAGTGTAATGGCTAATAAGAATCTCTTGGATGGATTCCCAGCTAGCTAGCTGGTGTGAAAGGATCAGTTGATTAAGATGAATTTTTGCTCCCTCAACATCAGCAAGAGCCATAAGACCTCTCTACACAAAATATTGTTCTGAGTACTTGGAAAATAATAAGAAACACACGACAACAGTTACTACAGCTATATTCACAATGAAAGCCAATATTCAATGAATTTTATTCTGTGAATGAGATGAAATCTTTGTCTCGTTGAAGATCAAAATTAAATTCAGTAACATGTGTGCAGAATTAGTCTCTATCTCATGAAGTTTGGACATACATGGATAAGAGATTCCCCTGATGTAAGAACCCCATTTCTAAGCATCCACGGACTGCTGGAAAAGCTACAAGAAGAAAATAATAAAGCATTATCAGAGGTAATATATCATGGGTTTAACAGAACAATTGGTAAAAAAGAAAAAAGAGACGACTGGTAGCAAACAGCTGTATCTTCTCAAGAACCAGATAGCTACTAACCTCAATGTGAACTTAATTGGTGCCATATCAAATGATTCAACGTAGATTTTCTTCTGCTTTCGGGCAAGAAGGTGAATTTGCTGCCATGGAGCTCCAGTTGGGACCATTTTAGGTAGCAAACAGCTTCTTTTGTTATCTTTATTAAGCATTGTAATGTTAGTGGAATACAAATGTTTTCCAACATCTACAGGGGCATTCCTAGAAAATTCAAAATCAGGAAACAATTGATGGTGTGTGGAGCCCATGTGTTGGAAAATTCTGCTCTCCAACCTTGAAGATAAGGTTTTAAAGAAGTCAAACAATCTCAATACTACTTCTTGCTCGATCTCGAGATAAAAATCTGCAATTCTGCAGAAAACAGCAATATATCAAGTTCTATTTATTCTCTGTTTTGATAAATACTCCACCTTTATGGTTGTTTGAATTTATTTTTTATTTTTACAAAAGAGAAGGAAAAGGAAAATCAATACGGCAAGTGGTGAAAGGAAAAATGAATTCCAGATGTATGCTTGATGAACAAATACAAACCTGAGGCTTATATGTTCAAATGAAACCAATGTATCTTTGTTCCTCCACTTTGCCACAGCTAAGGAGAACACTGGTTCACGATAAGAAATTTGGGGCATACTTCCACTTGCCATTTTGGTACTATCCTCTTTATACTTCACCTGGTTGACCAGATTGCCCTTGTTTCCATGGTCAAAAGAGAGGATTACAGGGTATGGAGTAATATTCAACTGATTATCAATTTGCAAGGATGAAACTTGTAAGTTAAACTGTTGTTGATCCAAGCTCTGTACAAAATTAACTTTCATGTTCTTGGCACATGCAAAGAGCAACTCCTACAAAACATAAACAGGCACTGCAATTAACAAAGATTGTGGAATATGACCAATGACTAGCCTATAATAGTTACATATGTGGATAAAAATGACAGTTTGTCACCCAACTTACTATTTTAGTCATCAAACTTCAAATTATTTAAGTTTCATAAAATGAACTTCTAATTTCATTTCAATTTGACCATTCCATTACCTACTATTAACATATGTAACAGATTTTATGAAGTGCATTCTGAGACATATATAACAGATTTTACGATGTGCATTTCTGATTTTGGCCGATGTGTGTAAGAATGCACTTTTTATAAAGTGCAAATTTGCCAAGGTGGCACACCAAGTACGCATATTAATGTCTGAAGATACCACGTAAGTGAAACCTATATCACATCCAGTAACAGAGAGAGAAAATTAAGGAACTGAAATCAGTTGGGTGACCAACTATGTCTATTACCCTTCCAAATGTAATACTTTCTACAATAACAAAATATACCTCAGGATGAGAATTCATCAAAGAGATTCCAAGAAAGGGTATGTCAACTGATATTCTTTCCTTGTAATGAACAGAAGTTTCATACTTCTGAATGGGTTTTCTTTTATCTTTCAGCCGAGGAACATGCAGACTCTTCAAATCATTCAAAACATGGTAACTTGAATCAACAATACTAAGAACCTGAATGAAAAAGAGATTTCATTACGACCAAAATGTAACGTAAGCATACGTCCACTCTATAAAAAGCATATATGGAACCTTAATAGCTCCTTCAGAATGGACAGAAATGAGCAAATTTCTTTCAGGCTTCTGAAAAAAGAAGGCAGAATTCATCAGTATAACAGAGAAAATAATTCAACTTGCAACAAAGAAACGAGACTTGTGACCCATATAGAAGAAAGTGGCTGCATGGAAAATTAATTACATAGTGATGCCTTGTTACTGTATACTTAAAGCTAATGCACAGAGCTAACAAATGCAAATGATTATGCCTTTAGGGAGCAATATAGTAATGGCAGTATAAATTACTAGCAACCATCTACCATAGAATTACAAATATAGAATTACACCATATAAAATAATTCATCTTCAAATTTGTAATACACACATGATCAATATAATTACAGCGTTATATGGTTTTCCTATTCTGCATAGGATTGTACTTGTATATACGTGACTGAATATATGGAATAAAATCATTAAGCCCAACCACTAGTTATGTTGTTATTGTCGTTTGCCTTATGTTAATAGGAAAAGAGGACACAGGGAAATGAGTCAAATGACATAATCATTATTCTTTTGCAACTTCATTTATCATCTTTTCCTCTGCCTTAACTCTTCTGTTTTCTGAAAATCCTTGAAGGAGAAAACAAGAACAATATTTCACTATATTTTTCACGTTAATAATGTACAATACATATCTCCTATTTATAGTAGAGGGAAGGAATAAAAGGAAATAAATCTCTAATGAATATACACTATTCTATCCATGGTAAGTAAAATCTTCAACAATCCCCCTAATTATATTCTCAGTCAATTTGGGATTTCTAACACTCTCTCTCAAGTTGGATCATAAATGTTGATCATATCCAATTTGGAGATGAAATCATCGAACTTATGTTTGGCAGTCCTTTGGTGAAGACATTTGCAATTTGTGTTTGCGTGGGGACATATGTCATACAAATAGTTCATTCCTCAACCTTTTCTTTGATAAAGTGTTTGTCCACATTTACATGCTTAGTTCGATCATGTTGAACTAGATAAAGAGAAATGTTGATTGCTTCTTTATTGTCACAATAGAGTTTGATTGGCAACTTTATTGTGATATGTAATCCTTCTAGGAGCTTTCTTAACCACAGTCCTTCACATATTCCTTACATGACAGCTCTAAACTTAGTTTCAACACCGCTTCTAGATATCACATTTTGTTTCTTGCTTCTCCAAATTATCATATTTCCCCATATAAAGGTACAGTAACCAATAGTAGACTTATACTTCTTTTCTTTCACACCTATTGAAGAGTAGCCATTTTCCTGAGAAGCCCTTGAGATATCTAATTATCTTATAGACAACCTCTAGATGACTTTCTTTTGGGAAATGCATGTGTTGGTTAACCTGACTAACAACAAATGTAATGTTGGGCCTGGTGTGTGACACGTAGATTAGCTTTCCCACTAGTCTTTGACATCTATTGACTTCTACTGGAATTTCTCCATCTTCAATTTTGTTTCCTACATCCATAGGTGTATCACTCGATTTGCATCCAAGCATGCAAGTTTCAGTTAAAAGATCAATGACATATTCTCGTTGTGATACACTGATCCCGTCTTGATCTAGCGATTTCCATTCCCAAGAACTATCTTATTGGTCCCAAATCTTTTACTTCAAATTCAGTAGCAAGGCCCTTCTTTAATTTCTCCGATTCTACGATATTATCACCTGTCAAAATAATGTCATCAACGTAAACGATCAAAATCGTTTTAGTACCATCTTCAAAATTCTGAAGAAATATAGTGTGATCTGATCGTCCTTGGTGATATTCTAGACTTTTCAACACTTTTGCAAATCTATCAAACCATGCTCTCGGTGACTGTTTTAGTCCATATAATGACTTTTTCAATTTACATACTCGGTTTCTTTCATTTACCTTGCAAAAACCTGGTGGTAATGTCATGAACACTTCCCCATTTAGAAATGCACTTCTAATGTCAAGTTGCTGAATTGACCAATCCAAATTTGCTGCCAGTGATAGAAGAACGCGAATTATATTCAGCTTTGCTACTGCCATAAATGTTTCTGTGTAGTCAATGCCATACGTTTGTGTGTATCCTTTTGCAACCAACCAAACTTTATACCTTTCGACCATCCCATCGGCTTTATATTTCAAGTTGAAGACCCATTTGTATCCAACGGGTTACTTTCCCTGTGTCAAGTCACTTCCCAAGTTTTTTTTTTCCAACCTCATATTTCTTCCAATACTGCTTCTCACAATTTTGGAAGTTCTAAGACTTCGTGAATATTTTTCGAAATCATTGTCCTATCAAGGTGAGATGTAAAAGCACGAAATCCTACATATAGGGTATTATAGGACATGAATTTTGAAATAGAATGGAGTGTACATGACCTATTTGTTTTCTGAGAGCAATGGATAAGTCAGCATTATTCACCATTCAAAAAAATTTTACCATTAAAAAAAAAAAATAAGTTAGCATTAGAAATTTTTTATACTCCCTAGGGATCTAGAGCCACCATTGGTTCTGACTCTCTTGGTATTTCAGATGTAAAATTCTTTGAATACTTTGATTTTTTACTTTAGGGAATAAACTAGTATTTCCTTATCTTTTTGTTTTTCTACTTGTCCCTCTAAATTCAAGTTTCCTTCTGTTAATGGCATATTAATTGTGGGATAGGTGACATATCAGTTGGGAGTGGAGAGACTGAGGTCAAGGAGCCGATCTTCATGTGAGATATCCCCCTGAAGAGAGGTGGTCTTAAAGTACGATATTTTCTAAGAAAGTTACATCAAGGCTTACAAAAGTCCATTTTGTGGAAGGATTGTAGCATTTGTAGCCTTTTTGTGTAAGAGAATATCCAATTAGAACACATTTAATTGGTCGGGGGTCAAGTTTACTTCTGTGATTGGAGTGAACAAGAACGAAAGTAATGCACCCAAACACTTTCGAGGGAAGATTTGAGTTGAGACGAGAATTTGGGAAATATTTATGAAATTTTTGGAGAGGTGTTTCGAAGTTTAGGATACGGCTAGGCATCCGGTTGATTAGATAGGTGGACGTAAGGACCGCATCCCCAAAAATATTTTTAGAATGTTCGTAGTAAATATTAAGGCATGAGCAATTTCTAGGAGATGTCTATTTTTTTGTCCGGCAATCCCATTTTGTTGGGGAGTGTCGATGCATGAGTTTTGATGAATTATGCCATGAGCTTGCAAAAATTCTCCCTTGATGTTATTGAAGTATTCCGTACCATTATCGGAGTGTAAAATTTGAAGTTATGTTTAAAATTGTGTTTGAAGCATAGAGTGGAAGTTGATGAACATGGAACGAACATTGATTTTTTCTTTTAGTGGGTAAACCCAACAAATTTGAGTGTGATCATTGATGAATGTAACAAACCATTTTGCATGATTTCGGTTTGGGATGCATGTGAGGTCCCATACATCATTGTGAATCATGGGGAATGGCTTTGATGGTTTGTACGTGGATTTTGGAAATGATGTACGTTGATGTTTGCAAGCTCACAAATTTCACATTGAAGATTGATCAGTTTTTTTATTCAAAAAGATAGAAGGGAAAACACGTTTCAAGTATTGAAAGTTGGGATGACCCGTTCTAAAGTGCCATGACATAAATCGGTTATTTCCCAACTGGTTATTTTCACTTGTCTCATTAGACACACTGCATTTTTATCTCGGCATCAGCTATAAGACAAACTCAAGTCCAAAAAACATTTTATAACTTCATTGTTTATAAAAAGGCAATCAAGAAGTATTTATTTCTCAACTCGATTCAAAAAAGCCTTGTAAAATGAGGATATTTTTCCTCCACTGCTCTGTTAAGGACCATAAAATGGTTACACAACAAAAGCTTAAATAGATTTTAAACATCTCATTCCATGAAATTTTAGGTCCCCTATTCATCAAGATATATCATCACATTCCTCAACGGATGCACATAGAGGCCTTTGGATGCGTGCACACCATCTTAATCTATTATTGTGCAATTTACATTCACCACACGCTACCTTTGCATAGCCAAATTATTAGTATTTTATTTCTTATTCTAAAGCATATAAGAATACCTCTGAAGTTGCAGGTAAGTACACAAATGACTGAACTTCTATGTCATCAAGAGCATATGATCCTAAAACACGTTCACCAGGTACCTGATAAAATTTTAAAAAAAAAATTTATCTATAACTGTTGCTGATTAATTTTTGTGACATTGAAATTAGTAAATAATACCTCAACGGTAAGACGATGTGGATAGCACGGCTCATCCCAAGCATAAGGGGCAGAAGTGTAAGATTGAACCAATGTTTCAAAAGATTCGCATCTTGGCTGGTAAATTCGCAACCTCTACAATGTGTCAAAGAGAAAATAATAATTGTACTACATCCACTACACAAACATCAATAGAGTCAATCCGAAAAATTATGATTGACATTCAAAACTGAGCACAGTAAAATTGGATATCCCAAGTTTTTGGAGTAGCAAGAAACAATAGTTACATAACTAAAACAAACAATACTTTCCCAAAGAACTCGAGAAATCTGATAAATCAAGGTGTGCTTTTTCAGACGTTCGTATGCAATTGCACAAACGTTATCTTGGGTCTTTTGTAAATCAAATCAACTGTTCTATTCCTAAAAACATGCAGAAATAATGGCACAAATGAAGACTCCTAATATTTGCAATGACTAATTGATTCTACCAGCTACACTTTCCAAAAATATAGATTTGACCAATCTCCGTAATTGGGGAATCTTATCTAGTTTCCATCAGAAGTTAATCGAGTTGCTCTGAGCTAAGTTGCCAAACAACTAAATAATGGCAAGGATAACTTTTTGGAGTGCTACATTAGCCAGGAATATTCACGAGTCAAAAACTCATTCAGAGTACAATCTTTTGGTGATGCACTGATGCAACATAATAATTAATGTAGTAATATCCAATTACTATCTATGTTGAACTATCTCATCTAAAAGCTTTAGTTGTAAGAGAGAGGACAAATTTATCGATTTAAATTTTGTTCAAGATGAATTACGATAAAAGGTCGAACAAGTGAACATTTTTTGTAAATTGGCGGGGGCAAGACTTCAACCTATTATCTTTGCTGGTTTTGATACCATGTTGAACTACCCATGGAAAGCATAACCTGTTAGAACAGTCTTCCTTTTACTCAAAAATGATATGCTAAACACAATTCAAGCATCTACTAACCTCCCTAGACATGTTGTCAATTCTGTAGGGCATAAAGCCTGTATCATCATCAGATAAAAGAATCAAGTTTGTCCCAGAGTTCCCATGGGGGCTTCCAACAATCTTTTCTTCTCTGATGGAAACATCAGCACTCTGCACTTCCACACGTATCATATTGATTGCACCTGAGATATAATTTCTCATTTTAATTTGAGTATCACCTAGCTGCTCCGGCAAGAAGCATCCAGACCACTCCCATCCAGGTTCATCAAAACGAACAGAAATCAATAATTCCCTGGAATTTATGAATCAGAAATAGAAAGTGATATATTAGAGAGCAAAGTTGAAAGCTAAAGGAACATTAAAATCAAACAAATCCTATTATTTTCTTTTTAACAGATTGCCATTTGTCAACCATCATTGACATGCACTGTTTCCTATTTGAATTGTCATTTTCAAAATTTAAGGAATCCAGTACAGAATTCTAAAGAGTTCAATTTATGTATATGCATTTCTATGCACTGCCAACCTCATGTCAAACATTTCAATTAACAAATTAACAGTCCTTGGAAGTTACGGCAATGGAAATAACTTTAAAATACAAAATCATAATCTCAGCAACCAGGATGTGCAAAAGAATTAGTGAGGTCCTTAAAAATTCCTTAAGGTGCTGGGCGGCATGATAAGGCAAAATCAAGCTTTTCTTCTAGTAACAACAAAAAGTAGCAAACCTTCTTGTATCAATCCACTGAATATGGGAATGCCGTCCAGCTTCCAGTGAAACAGCAAAAGCGGTTCCCTTCTGCTTATAACACAATTTTTTGGTGCATGCGTTACTTATCACGTATCTGAAATTTAAAATATGGATGCTATTATAAGAAGCAAGGATTTAAACGATATGAAATAAATTGATAAATAGGCTCATTTGATAATTAAATAAAAGTGAGGTTTTTAGGAATGTACCTGTGCTGGAAGGTGATGATTTTTGTCCCTCCAGAAAATGGTGCAGCCACAGCTGAAACTGATACTATATACCCAGAAATCATGGATGGTTGAGGAATAAGAACGCTAATTGAACCAGTTGGTGGGACAAGAGAAAATGGGGAAGACCAAGATTGCTTGGAATAGCTTTCCAAGACAGAAGGCAGGTACCTACTTAGCCTGACCATAATGTCACCAGAAAATGAATTTGGATCGGGAGAAAACATGCAAGCCCCAACCTTTTTACTATCAGTTTTCAATAGATCAGGAGAATTCAAATTTGTTTCACTGGTTGAACCTAGGCAAAATACCAAATGAATTCAAAGGTCTGCCAAAGTACTAATAAAAATATAATTTGATGGCAAAAGTAAGTTTTTGTGGAAGTTATTCTTCAAGTATTACCTGCAGTGGCAGGCATATCCAGATTCGAACATAGAAAACCAAGACCATCTTTCTTTTCAAAAGGTAGGTTCTCCTCGTCTATACGATAGCATGAAGGAATGATACAGCTATAACCTTTCATTTCATTGATAGAGCTTGAGAGACAAAGAGACAACCCAGTGCAATTATACAATAAAAAGGGAACAGATACATGTACTTCACGAGCTCCAGAAAATGCATCCATTACCTTTTCCATGGTAATAAATAAAGGACCTGGACCAATTTTTAAAAGTCAATTAGCAAGAAAATGGATCACAGTTAAGGTGATATACCTGAAAAACATTCCAGATAGGAAGCGATAAGAAATCCTTGATGCCAAGACCTAGACTCCTCGCAAATCCCATAGGATTTCCTATGACGCCAGCAGAACCAAAAACCTGCAAAATTTTGCGTCCAATTCAATGATGACTATGGTATTGAATACAGCAACCAAGTAGTTGAAAAGGAACACCGTGCACGTAATTTCATCCAAAAAGGAGTTCTTAAAATATTTTGCCAAAGTTGGGCCAAGAAAGGTTACCTTGTACATCTCATGTAGAAACTGTCGAGTGTAATGGCTAATAAGAATCTCTTGGATGGATTCCCAGCTAGCTAGCTGGTGTGAAAGGATCAGTTGATTAAGATGAATTTTTGCTCCCTCAACATCAGCAAGAGCCATAAGACCTCTCTACACAAAATATTGTTCTGAGTACTTGGAAAATAATAAGAAACACACGACAACAGTTACTACAGCTATATTCACAATGAAAGCCAATATTCAATGAATTTTATTCTGTGAATGAGATGAAATCTTTGTCTCGTTGAAGATCAAAATTAAATTCAGTAACATGTGTGCAGAATTAGTCTCTATCTCATGAAGTTTGGACATACATGGATAAGAGATTCCCCTGATGTAAGAACCCCATTTCTAAGCATCCACGGACTGCTGGAAAAGCTACAAGAAGAAAATAATAAAGCATTATCAGAGGTAATATATCATGGGTTTAACAGAACAATTGGTAAAAAAGAAAAAAGAGACAACTGGTAGCAAACAGCTGTATATCTTCTCAAGAACCAGATAGCTACTAACCTCAATGTGAACTTAATTGGTGCCATATCAAATGATTCAACGTAGATTTTCTTCTGCTTTCGGGCAAGAAGGTGAATTTGCTGCCATGGAGCTCCAGTTGGGACCATTTTAGGTAGCAAACAGCTTCTTTTGTTATCTTTATTAAGCATTGTAATGTTAGTGGAACACAAATGTTTTCCAACATCTACAGGGGCATTCCTAGAAAATTCAAAATCAGGAAACAATTGATGGTGTGTGGAGCCCATGTGTTGGAAAATTCTGCTCTCCAACCTTGAAGATAAGGTTTTAAAGAAGTCAAACAATCTCAATACTACTTCTTGCTCGATCTCGAGATAAAAATCTGCAATTCTGCAGAAAACAGCAATATATCAAGTTCTATTTATTCTCTGTTTTGATAAATACTCCACCTTTATGGTTGTTTGAATTTATTTTTTATTTTTACAAAAGAGAAGGAAAAGGAAAATCAATACGGCAAGTGGTGAAAGGAAAAATGAATTCCAGATGTATGCTTGATGAACAAATACAAACCTGAGGCTTATATGTTCAAATGAAACCAATGTATCTTTGTTCCTCCACTTTGCCACAGCTAAGGAGAACACTGGTTCACGATAAGAAATTTGGGGCATACTTCCACTTGCCATTTTGGTACTATCCTCTTTATACTTCACCTGGTTGACCAGATTGCCCTTGTTTCCATGGTCAAAAGAGAGGATTACAGGGTATGGAGTAATATTCAACTGATTATCAATTTGCAAGGATGAAACTTGTAAGTTAAACTGTTGTTGATCCAAGCTCTGTACAAAATTAACTTTCATGTTCTTGGCACAAGCAAAGAGCAACTCCTACAATACATAAACAGGCGCTGCAATTAACAAAGATTGTGGAATATGACCAATGACTAGCCTATAATAGTTACAAATGTGGATAAAAATGACAGTTTGTCACCCAACTTACTATTTTAGTCATCAAACTTCAAATTATTTAAGTTTCATAAAATGAACTTCTAATTTCATTTCAATTTGACCATTCCATTACCTACTATTAACATATGTAACAGATTTTATGAAGTGCATTCTGAGACATATATAACAGATTTTACGATGTGCATTTCTGATTTTGGCCGATGTGTGTAAGAATGCACTTTTTATAAAGTGCAAATTTGCCAAGGTGGCATACCAAGTACGCATATTAATGTCTGAAGATACCACGTAAGTGAAACCTATATCACATCCAGTAACAGAGAGAAAATTGAGGAACTGAAATCAGTTGGGTGACCAACTATGTCTATTACCCTTCCAAACGTAATACTTTCTACAATAACAAAATATACCTCAGGATGAGAATTCATCAAAGAGATTCCAAGAAAGGGTATGTCAACTGATATTCTTTCCTTGCAATGAACAGAAGTTTCATACTTCTGAATAGGTTTTCTTTTATCTTTCAGCCGAGGAACATGCAGACTCTTCAAATCATTCAAAACATGGTAACTTGAATCAACAATACTAAGAACCTGAATGAAAAAGAGATTTCATTACGACCAAAATGTAAAGTAAGCATACGTCCACTCTATAAAAAGCATATATGGAACCTTAATAGCTCCTTCAGAATGGACAGAAATGAGCAAATTTCTTTCAGGCTTCTGAAAAAAGAAGGCAGAATTCGTCAGTGTAACAGAGAAAATAATTCAACTTGCAACAAAGAAACGAGACTTGTGACCCATATAGAAGAAAGTGGCTGCATGGAAAATTAATTACATAGTGATGCCTTGTTACTGTATACTTAAAGCTAATGCACAGAGCTAACAAATGCAAATGATTATGCCTTTAGGGAGCAATATAGTAATGGCAGTATAAATTACTAGCAACCATCTACCATAGAATTACAAATATAGAATTACACCATATAACATAATTCATCTTCAAATTTGTAATACACACATGATCAATATAATTACAGTGTTATATGGTTTTCCTATTCTGCATAGGATTGTACTTGTATATACGTGACTGAATATATGGAATAAAATCATTAAGCCCAATCAGTAGTTATGTTGTTATTGTAGTTTGCCTTATGTTAATAGGAAAAGAGGATACAGGGAAATGAGTCAAATGACATAATCATTATTCTTTTGCCTGCCTTAACTCTTCTGTTTTCTGAAAATCCTTGAAGGAGAAAACAAGAACAATATTTCACTATATTTTTCACGTTAATAATGCACAATACATATCTCCTATTTATAGTAGAGGGAAGGAATAAAAGGAAATAAATCTCTAATGAATATACACTATTCTATCCATGGTAAGTAAAATCTTCAACAATCCCCCTAATTATATTCTCAGTCAATTTGGGATTTCTAACACTCTCTCTCAAGTTGGATCATAAATGTTGATCATATCCAATTTGGAGATGAAATCATCGAACTTATGTTTGGCAGTCCTTTGGTGAAGACATTTGCAATTTGTGTTTGCGTGGGGACATATGTCATACAAATAGTTCATTCCTCAACCTTTTCTTTGATAAAGTGTTTGTCCACATTTACATGCTTAGTTCGATCATGTTGAACTAGATAAAGAGAAATGTTGATTGCTTCTTTATTGTCACAATAGAGTTTGATTGGCAACTTTATTGTGATATGTAATCCTTCTAGGAGCTTTCTTAACCACAGTCCTTCACATATTCCTTACATGACAGCTCTAAACTTAGCTTCAACACCGCTTCTAGATATCACATTTTGTTTCTTGCTTCTCCAAATTACCATATTTCCCCATATAAAGGTACAGTAACCAATAGTAGACTTCGACTTCTTTTCTTTCACACCTATTGAAGAGTAGCCATTTTCCTGAGAAGCCCTTGAGATATCTAATTATCTTATAGACAACCTCTAGATGACTTTCTTTTGGGAAATGCATGTGTTGGTTAACCTGACTAACAACAAATGTAATATTGGGCCTGGTGTGTGACACGTAGATTAGCTTTCCCACTAGTCTTTGACATCTATTGACTTCTACTGGAATTTCTCCATCTTCAATTTTGTTTCCTACATCTATAGGTGTATCACTCGATTTGCATCCAAGCATGCAAGTTTCAGTTAAAAGATCAATGACATATTCTCGTTGTGATACATAGATCCCGTCTCGATCTAGCGATTTCCATTCCTAAGAACTATCTTATTGGTCCCAAATCTTTTACTTCAAATTCAGTAGCAAGGCCCTTCTTTAATTTCTCCGATTCTACTATATTATCACCTGTCAAAATAATGTCATCAACGTAAACGATCAAAATCGTTTTAGTACCATCTTCAAAATTTTGAAGAAACATAGTGTGATCTGATTGTCCTTGGTGATATTCTAGACTTTTCAACACTTTTGCAAATCTATCAAACCATGCTCTCGATGACTGTTTTAGTCCATATAATGACTTTTTCAATTTACATACTCAGTTTCTTTCATTTACCTTGCAAAAACCTGGTGGTAATGTCATGAACACTTCCCCATTTAGAAATGTACTTCTAATGTCAAGTTGCTGAATTGACCAATCCAAATTTGCTGCAAGTGATAGAAGAACGCGAATTATATTCAGCTTTGCTACTGGTGTAAATGTTTCTGTGTAGTCAATGCCATACGTTTGTGTGTATCCTTTTGCAACCAACCAAGCTTTATACCTTTCAACCATCCCATCGGCTTTATATTTCAAGTTGATGACCCATTTGTATCCAACGGGTTACTTTCCCTGTGTCAAGTCACTTCCCAAGTTTTTTTTTCCAACCTCATATTTCTTCCAATACTGCTTCTCACAATTTTGGAAGTTCTAAGACTTCGTGAATATTTTTTGAAATCATTGTCCTATCAAGGTGAGATGTAAAAGCACGAAATCCTACATATAGGGTATTATAGGACATGAATTTTGAAACAGAATGGAGTGTACATGACCTATTTGTTTTCTGAGAGCAATGGATAATTCAGCATTATCCACCATTCAAAAAATTTTTACCATTAAAAAAAAAAAATAAGTCAGCATTAGAAATTTTTGATACTTCCTAGGGATCTAGAGCCACCATTGGTTCTGACTCTCTTGGTATTTCAGATGTAAAATTCTTTGAATACTTTGATTTTTTACTTTAGGGAATAAACTAGTATTTCCTTATCTTTTTGTTTTTCTACTTGTCCCTCTAAATTCAAGTTTCTTTCTGTTAATGGCATATTAGTTGGTGGAATAGGTGAAATATCAGTTGGGAGTGGAGAGACTGAGGTCAAGGAGCCGATCTTCATGTGAGATATCCCCCTGAAGAGAGGTGGTCTTAAAGTACGATATTTTCTAAGAAAGTTACATCAAGGCTTACAAAAGTCCATTTTGTGGAAGGATTGTAGCATTTGTAGCCTTTTTGTGTAAGAGAATATCCAATTAGAACACATTTAATTGGTCGGGGGTCAAGTTTACTTCTGTGATTGGAGTGAACAAGAACGAAAGTAATGCACCCAAACACTTTCGAGGGAAGATTTGAGTTGAGACGAGAATTTGGGAAATATTTATGAAATTTTTGGAGAGGTGTTTCGAAGTTTAGGATACGGCTAGGCATCCGGTTGATTAGATAGGTGGACGTAAGGACCGCATCCCCAAAAATATTTTTAGAATGTTCGTAGTAAATATTAAGGCATGAGCAACTTCTAGGAGATGTCTATTTTTTTGTTCGGCAATCCCATTTTGTTGGGGAGTGTCGATGCATGAGTTTTGATGAATTATGCCATGAGCTTGCAAAAATTCTCCCTTGATGTTATTGAAGTATTCCGTGCCATTATCGGAGTGTAAAATTTGAAGTTATGTTTAAAATTGTGTTTGAAGCATAGAGTGGAAGTTGATGAACATGGAACGAACATTGATTTTTTCTTTTAGTGGGTAAACCCAACAAATTTGAGTGTGATCATTGATGAATGTAACAAACCATTTTGCATGATTTCGGTTTGGGATGCATGGGAGGTCCCATACATCATTGTGAATCATGGGGAATGGCTTTGATGGTTTGTACGTGGATTTTGGAAATGATGTACGTTTATGTTTGCAAGCTCACAAATTTCACATTGAAGATTGATCAGTTTTTTTATTCAAAAAGATAGAAGGGAAAACACGTTTCAAGTATTGAAAGTTGGGATGACCCGTTCTAAAGTGCCATGACATAAATCGGTTATTTCCCAACTGGTTATTTTCACTTGTCTCATTAGACACACTGCATTTTTATCTTGGCATCAGCTATAAGACAAACTCATGTCCAAAAAACATTTTATAACTTCATTGTTTATAAAAAGGCAATCAAGAAGTATTTATTTCTCAACTCGATTCAAAAAAGCCTTGTAAAATGAGGATATTTTTCCTCCACTGCTCTGTTAAGGACCATAAAATGGTTACACAACAAAAGCTTAAATAGATTTTAAACATCTCATTCCATGAAATTTTAGGTCCCCTCTTCATCAAGATATATCATCACATTCCTCAACGGATGCACATAGAGGCCTTTGGATGCGTGCACACCATCTTAATCTAGTATTGTGCAATTTACATTCACCACACGCTACCTTTGCATAGCCAAATTATTAGTATTTTATTTCTTATTCTAAAGCATATAAGAATACCTCTGAAGTTGCAGGTAAGTACACAAATGACTGAACTTCTATGTCATCAAGAGCATATGATCCTAAAACACGTTCACCAGGTACCTGATAAAATTTAAAAAAAAATATTTATCTATAACTATTGCTGATTAATTTTTGTGACATTGAAATTAGTAAATAATACCTCAACGGTAAGACGATGTGGATAGCACGGTTCATCCCAAGCATAAGGGGCAGAAGTGTAAGATTGAACCAATGTTTCAAAAGATTCGCATCTTGGCTGGTAAATTCGCAACCTCTACAATGTGTCAAAGAGAAAATAATAATTGTACTACATCCACAACACAAACATCAATAGAGTCAATCCGAAAAATTATGATTGACATTCAAAACTTAGCACAGTAAAATTGGATATCCCAAGTTTTTGGAGTAGCAAGAAAAAATAGTTACATAACTAAAACAAACAATACTTTCCCAAAGAACTCGAGAAATCTGATAAATCAAGGTGTGCTTTTCCAGAGGTTCGTATGCAATTGCACAAACGTTATCTTGGGTCTTTTGTAAATCAAATCAACTATTCTATTCCTAAAAACATGCAGAAATAATGGCACAAATGAAGACTCCTAATATTTGCAATGACTAATTGATTCTACCAGCTACACTTTCCAAAAATATAGATCTGACCAATCTCCGTAATTGGGGAATCTTATCTAGTTTCCATCAAAAGTTAATCGAGTTGTCCTGAGCTAAGTTGCCAAACAACTAAATAATGGCAAGGATAACTTTTTGGAGTGCTACATTAGCCAGGAATATTCACGAGTCAAAAACTCATTCAGAGTACAATCTTTTGGTGATGCACTGATGCAACATAATAATTAATGTAGTAATATCCAATTACTATCTATGTTGAACTATCTCATCTAAAAGCTTTAGTTGTAAGAGAGAGGACAAATTTATCTATTTTTATTTGGTTCAAGATGAATTACGATAAAAGGTCGAACAAGTGAACATTTTTTGTAAATTGGCGGGGGCAAGACTTCAACCTATAATCTTTGCTGGTTTTGATACCATGTTGAACTACCCATGGAAAGCATAACCTGTTAGAACAGTCTTCCTTTTACTCAAAAATGATATGCTAAGCACAATTCAAGCATCTACTAACCTCCCTAGACATGTTGTCAATTCTGTAGGGCATAAAGCCTGTATCATCATCAGATAAAAGAATCAAGTTTGTCCCAGAGTTCCCATGGGGGCTTCCAACAATCTTTTCTTCTCTGATGGAAACATCAGCACTCTGCACTTCCACACGTATCATATTGATTGCACCTGAGATATAATTTCTCATTTTAATTTGAGTATCACCTAGCTGCTCCGGCAAGAAGCATCCAGACCACTCCCATCCAGGTTCATCAAAACGAACAGAAATCAATAATTCCCTGGAATTTATGAATCAGAAATAGAAAGTGATATATTAGAGAGCAAAGTTGAAAGCTAAAGGAACATTAAAATCAAACAAATCCTATTATTTTCTTTTTAACAGATTGCCATTTGTCAACCATCATTGACATGCACTGTTTCCTATTTGAATTGTCATTTTCAAAATTTAAGGAATCCAGTACAGAATTCTAAAGAGTTCAATTTATGTATATGCATTTCTATGCACTGCCAACCTCATGTCAAACATTTCAATTAACAAATTAACAGTCCTTGGAAGTTACGGCAATGGAAATAACTTTAAAATACAAAATCATAATCTCAGGAACCAGGATGTGCAAAAGAATTAGTGAGGTCCTTAAAAATTCCTTAAGGTGCTGGGCGGCATGATAAGGCAAAATCAAGCTTTTCTTCTAGTAACGACAAAAAGTAGCAAACCTTCTTGTATCAATCCACTGAATATGGGAATGCCGTCCAGCTTCCAGTGAAACAGCAAAAGCGGTTCCCTTCTGCTTATAACACAATTTTTTAGTGCATGCGTTACTTATCACGTATCTGAAATTTAAAATATGGATGCTATTATAAGAAGCAAGGATTTAAACGATATGAAATAAATTGATAAATAGGCTCATTTGATAATAAAATAAAAGTGAGGTTTTTAGGAATGTACCTGTGCTGGAAGGTGATGATTTTTGTCCCTCCAGAAAATGGTGCAGCCACAGCT